AATTTACAGATTTTAAATTATTATTTCAAATAAGTTGAAGACGGATATAAAGGATGAAGATAGGAAGAATAAATTCTTGTACAAGACTAAAAAAATATTATTTAATATCTAGTAAAATTAAAGGTTAAAAAGTCTTATCTTTATTGTAAATCTATTAGAAACACATTTTATAGAAAACTAGATGAGAACACATACGTCAAAAAAAATATTTAAAGTGGCATGTCGTGTTTTTTTAGTTAGTTACATGGAAAGGGGGAGGCAGTGAATAACATGTAGGTACTTTGTCCCGGTGGTGGGAGCTGTCGTTTAACCTGTCAAATTCAAAATAACGTTTCACATCGATGGAGTTTTTCGTCTTAGCTGAAAATAAAATAATTTACTTCTAGACGTCTATAACAATAAAAAAACTCTTCGGTGGCGGAGCAAGACCTAAATTTTATGTGGGCAAGATATATTTTTGCAAGGACCTCTGGAGGCGCAAGAAGACGTATTTTATATAGAGAAATAACATTAAAACTTGTATAAAAAATGCTAACAACTCTTAGACTTTAACTAATATTTTTAAGTAATTATTACTAGCAGTAAAGAATTACAGAAACATAAATTTCCTGCTTTTAGCTTTACTGAACTCTTGTACCATAATCCAGATTATATATCTGCTTCAATAGATAAAATTGACAATGCTAAAGTCTTTGCTGGCCCATTGTACTTTTTAATTTTTTATTAGTTTTAATTTTGAGAAGCTCCTTTCAGCAGTTGTACTTACTGGTACTGTTAACAAAATTTGAATAACAATATAAATATTTGGATACATTTCTTTCAACTTATTTTCTATTATGTATTGGAGCAGCTGTTTTACACCTTTATTGAAATCAGGTAAATTTAGGATCATTATTTGTAAATCTTCATAAAATTCGTAAGGTTTGAAATCACTACTCTCACCCACTCGAGAACAGTCCACTTTAAATAATTTTAAAGGTGATGCTTTTAAAAACAAATACAAAAATAAGTCAAAAATCATATAAAGGGGGATGTCTTAGGAAAGAAAGAGAAAAGAAAAAAAAAAGCGAAAAGTAAAGAAAGAGAAAGAGCGCAAACAAAAACGCAAAAGACGCACCTTTTAAATGATTTACTTTTCCCCTCTAGAATCGAATATTAGAGGAGAATAAAAAAAAGTAAACCAAATCGGAACGTTTTGTTAAATATAATAATTCGATTTTTAGTTTTTAATATAATTATATTGTTTTATAAATAAAGTAGTTTATTTTTAATATTCTTGCATAGAACGATTGCCAAAAAGCAGTTTTGAATTGACACACTATATGTGCGTAATAGTTTAAATATTTTTCTTTAACGAGCAAAACTTTTAAAGGTTCTAACCATAAAACCATTTTTTTTTACTTATTTTAGTTCAATGGACCGGTTTACTTTTTATTTAATATTTATCCCTTTCAATCAGTGGATTCTCACATCAAAATCTGTTTATACAAACAGAAAACAAAATAAGCGAATATATGGCCATTTACAGGATTTTACCAATGTAGCATACCTACTTAGTAAAAATTGTAGTTTGTGCAACAAGAGTAGATATGGACAATCAACTTGAGTCGTACAGTATATTTTTTCTACGACCCACTAACAAAAATCTACAAATTTAAAAAATTATTTTAGGTTGTTAAGCCAAAATAATTAATTTTAAAATAATTAATGAATTTTATTAATTTATAAATTAAAATAAAATAAAAAAAATTGTCTCGAGCACGAATTCAAACTTGAGCTATTCGCGTGAAAAGCAAATGCTCTGCTCACACCTCCACGGCCACTTTTGTGATTTTAGTTTTAATACTCTTAATTAAAATGGTTTCATAAAGATTGATAAAAATTTTCAAAATGTTAACCAAATAATACTAAAAATGATATTATTTATCGTTTCTACACAAAAATAACTTTCATTTTAATATATATTTAATCTTAATAACCAAAAAATATAATGGCAATTAGTTTGACAGAGTTGTCACTTATTTAAAATAATAATGGTTGGGTGTCTAAAATATGAACTATTATTGGTGGATTTAATTTTTTTGCAATCTTCTCACTACCTAGAATAGATATGAAATATATTCGTTTAGTTGAACGCAATAGCATACTTTTTCGTCTTGTAATCTGAGCGTAGATAAGCTAATATCTATGTGGGTGTAAAAAAACGATATTACCTATTTGTTATATCACTACGGCGCCACTTCCAGAGATATACATATATTGGAACAAAAAACAGATTTTGATAATGTTTAGAATTTGACATTCTTTCTTATTTAGAATAATTCGTTATTCGTTGTTTTTTATATTAAAGTTAAAATAGAGAGTGTTTGAAAGTTAACATTCTTCTATATAATTTTTGCTTACATATAAATAGGTCATATGTGAGAATAAATATTTTTCATAAGTTAAAGACAGCTGCATTAAACTTTTGAGGCGCGAGACCCTTCAGGCCGCGACGCCTAGACGGTGGCCCACGTCGCCCACGCCTTGCGCCGCTTCTGAAACCCTTTTTAAGCATTTTTATCGTCGAGTTTTGGTACTTTTGGTGTAAGTTTAGATATTTTCTTACATCGATAATAGCAAAACTAGACGGCGCAAAGGATTTATTTATTGTTATAGACGACTAGAAGCAAATTATTTCATTCCCAGAAAAAGTTAGACGAGAGCTCATACTACCGGAACAAATATTTATGTTGTTCACCCCTCTCCTGTACCAAACTACAAATAGCAAGCAAAAAACACGACATAAAACGGTCGCCTAAAAAAATATTGTATGCACCTCGGCCGTATGATCATTTTTGGTCTAACCAGCTTGGCCAGGGACGCAAATTTCCAATTCAGTTAAAAAAGATCAACTTTACGGCCTTGGTACACAATTATAACAACGGTAACAATTATAATTTTTATCTGTTTTTATTTTTTTGATAATTATTTGTAATGGGATCAACTTGGAGGTTTAGTTTGTTATTTATTGAAAACCCTATTTACAAAACAAAGAAAATTGTGTATCTATTTAAGTAGATCCATTTTTGAAACTTATTTAAACGTTACTCAAGATTTGAGACATTAAAAATATTAAAATATTAGTGTTCTGTACAAAGCTAGAAAATTTTAAATTATCTTAAAAGTCTTACAATAAAAAGTAATGGTTAAAGTTATTTTGGGTTCCAACAGCTGATGCCTGGGATATTAAATCCTATTCATCAACATTTTATGTACCTGCTATGAGAAACTAGTAGGGCCTCAGCACACGAACAACGTTGCCATATTTAAGGGACTCGGAATTGACAATGAATAAATACATTTAACGGATATACGAGAGCCTCGCATTGGCAATAGAAATTATATACAAAACGCTCGGAGTGCACCCTAGTAAGAAATATAATGAACTAAAAACCGTATAAGAGGAGATATCCACATCACATATGAGTCCAAAAAAAAAAATGAGATTGTGGTTTTGGGGGGTTGGGTGATGAAAAATAGCTCTATTTACACGTGTTTGACCTGCGAGGCCCGTTTTCGGGCCTCGCATGTGAAAACCGGGCCTCTAATAGTATCTTGCACATGTATTTATGGGTCTCGTATGTGACAACTATAAATCTATATATATATATATATATATATATATATATATATATATATATAAACTAAGGAATCTTGGGATTTTCAGCAAAAATCTTACAATTGTGTACTCTTTTAAGTATTTATTCCAAGCTTTCGAACATGATTATGTTCATCTTCAGGGAGCTACAATATTAATTTTTACAGAGGTTATAAGAAACAATTTTGAAAAAACATATACTTACAACTCAGTGAGAATCGTTGCGTACATGTGGTGTTATATTAATAAAAAATTTTCGGTACATCACAAAACGAGATAAAAATGGTTGATAACAATCATGTTAGCCAAAAAGTTTATATTTTTAATTTTACGTTAGGGCACATGGTCAAATTTTTAAAATAATTAATAAAATTCACATCTAACACCGTTCGGTACTAGAAACGAAAATGAAATTTTTTATGTTACTATTTGAACTATTTTTAGCGTGGGTACAAAGAGTCAGTTGTCATATGCCTGTCAACCGTCAGTCAAACAGTAGGAAAAAGAAGAAACCGTCAATGGCCTATATCACCTAAGCACTAACAGTTCAACATCTCTGATACTGCCAAAATGATAGTTGAGAGTCATATGATGAAATAAATTATTTAAATATTATATATATATATATATATATATATATATATATATATATATATATATATATATATATATATATATATTGCTTTCGTAAAACTTCTTTTTGTTGTAGTTACACCTCATTTTTAATCTATTTGTGTGCTTAAGTATTATGAAAGTGTCAATAAAGTCCAATATTAAACCCAGCCAAGTTCTTTAGAAAATTTATGTTGGGAGTTTTTAAAATGGAACGTACTACGGAAAAATTAGGACAACAAGAGACTCTTTTAAACTTCATTTCTTTGAAGAAAACAACAAACAGCGAGTGAGCAACAGTGTAGAATATAGAGTTTGTGGTAGGTCCGGTTTGTTTTCTTTCTTTTTTTAGTGCGAAATTTGTAGAATAGAAGGTCATTTAAGGTATTTTTAATAGTAATGGACATAAAACGTAAATAAAAACTAGAACTGCTGCATTTTTTTTACAACCCAATCCGAAAAAGTCAAGCGGCTCCGATTTCTAACAATATATTTTATTATTTTCAGTTTAATTGTTACTACTGCAAACTATAATCCAATAGCATCTTAATTGAAAAAGCAAAACTATATGCAAAAATCAGAGGTAAAGCGACAAAAAGTATACTTGGTCCTTAATCAAACATATTTATACATTCACAAAATTTTAACAAAAATACCAACCTCTCTCTCCTTTGAAGTACACAGACCTATCGCGAAAATTCAACGAAATCCTCAAATCACACTCCTATGTAATTCCAACTAATACCGGTTAAAGTTTATTATTAAAATGACCCTCCTCTTCTGAAATGTACTCTACGTCAGTTAACTGGTGAATATATCCACCTTCCTTTAAATACATACACCCGTCTAGTCCAAATTTTCTCTTGCTCTCAGAAACGATCTTATTGATTTGATCCAAATCTAAATATATCTGATTAGGAGTAGCTGTTTCAGCTCTAGAGTGGCTCGCAACCTCATCAGTCGAACCTACTAGGTCTTCTGTATCAGTATGAGAAGGAATAATCGCTATATTACCTACCATCTTCAAAGGTTTATTTACCAGTAAGCGCTCTTAAAGAAAATGGTCCAGAACCTTCTTTGTTCATCACCATATTTCCGCTCAACTGTCTTATATGGTTGGCAGTACAAGATAGCTCATTAAAATGTTTTTCATCGTCCGTACTATTACCAATGACTTCACGTCTGATAAAGCTTCTTGAGCTACGCATGGTAGATTAATTAAATGCAACAAGCTGTAAAATTCATCTGAATTACCATCACTAAGTATAACATCTTCAGTATCAGTTAAAGCTTTTGCCGACAATTTATTATTTTCAGCCATGAATCTTTCATGCATTTACTTGAATTTTGGTGGTCTACATCTACGTTCACTCATTACGAGTTCTTCTGTATCTGTTAAGTCATTCTCGTGATCTTTTATTGAAACTTGAAGTTTCTTAGATTGCTTTTGTACTTGTTCGCTCTCATTTATAATTCCGCAGTCTAGGAGGTTAAAGTTTGATATCGAAATTGGCATTATGCCGTCTACAGCCTCGCTCCCTTCAGAAACACTTTCCTTATCAGTTTCAATATTCATGGATTCTTCGGATGATTGAATTAGTGATTCGTCAGTTAAAGGAAGAATTTGGATAGTTGGAAATGTTTCATTATCCTTAAGGATAATCAAATTTCTTACTGGTGGAGGCAATTCTATTTTCTGTGTATTATTGCTGTCATCGGTATCATTTCCAATATCTTCTTCATCCGTAACAGTCACTATATGTTTTGATAAATCTATCGGAATGGTTTTAAATACTTCTTAATCTGAGCCATCTACATTCTCGCATTCTGTAATCGGATTCTTCATCTTTAACTACTTGTAATAGCAAGTTTGATTTAGATTTAATTTTTGTTTCGACAGTTAGAGTGGTCTTAAATTTAATATCGTAATGTACGATATCTTCTTCTTCATCCTCGTTTTCTTTATCGCTAGTTTCAGTTTGACAGATGTCACTGTCAGTATCAGCATTGTTGAAGATAGCGTCACTTTTGAAACATTGCGCTCTGCAAACTTTATTATTTTTACTGAACTGTGTGCCTCCTTTACATCGCTATTGTAACTTGCCATTTCGTAGATTTTCAGATATATCATCGAAATCTTCAATGTCACTAGGAAAGTTGGTATCGAATTCCGGTATGTTAAAGATATTCTGCTTCTTCCAGGCAACTTTTTTACATATAGGGAAAGGTATACGAAAATTATCTTCGTTATCCGACTCATATGGTGACACATGCTGCTTTATGGCAATTTCAGATTGCGACTTTCTCTTAGGTTTAACGTAAAAAGCAAATCTAGAATCATCATCTGAAACGTCCAAATCTTCTACATCCGTAACGGAAGCTCTTCTGTTTCCTTTATGTCTTCTTCTTTTTGGTTTGGCTTTCTTGAAGAGGAACTACACGAATTTTATTTCAGCAACATTTTTGATCCGGAATCTTCTAAAGTTAGGGTTGAAAATGTAAATTTAATTATGGAAATTGATACGGGGTCCGCTGACGACAACAAAATTTTTCATAGTCGTTTGAGAAATTCAACTGACCGTCAACATCATAAACTACTATTAGGTTTAAATAAATAAATGAGCCCAGAAGCGTTTTCACAAAGTCTGTAACCAGTTCAATTTTCCAAAGTCCGACTTCAAAAGAATTAACTCGCTAGGATTGCAAACCTAGTAAAGTTCTAACTTCAGAGCGGAATATCTCGAAACATCATCAAAAACTTAAAACTTTTTAATAAATTATTCTCTTGAAATCTAAGGAACTAGAGAGCCGGTGACGTTTCGCGCTTCTACGTTGCGAGCAGGGGCGGCACTGGACGGGGAGCGAAGGACAATATTATCGATTTTTGGTGAAACTATTCAAACTATTCGATATCGAATCCTATTAATTATGGTTTGAGGTGTTGATACTGTTGATGTTTCCCGATTAAGACATAAATCATGACGAACAAAGAAAATTTACTAGTTTTATTCTTAAAGGTATCGAATATTCAGAACATAGAAGAAATTATATGAAACAAGCGAGAAAAATCAAGTTAAATGAATTTATTTTAAAAAGTGGTAAACATATATTATAGCGACTAATAGCCAAATATTTTTTCATAACAAAAATATTTATTTTTATAATACTTTCAGAAAATTAGAAACAACATTAGCAGAAATTTAATATCTGTTGATATGACGTCCAGATTATAAAAATCTCCATTCATTACCATTTCGATGATGGCGGGTGGGGGTTTTGAGGTTTTTCTCCCCTATAAATAAAATTGCGCCATCAATCATCTTCAAGTCGCCTTGAAGCGCCACAGCAAATAACAATAATACCCGTCCCTTCCCCTACACAAGTCCGTTTTCTAGAAAAATTGATTTAAACTTTTCATGTTTTCATTGACTAACAAATAAATTTCTAACTTAATTATGATAAGATGGCTTTGGAAAATAAACGAAATAACAATGTCAAAGGACTGGTGTTTCATACCGTAAGTAAGTTTTGTGTTACTTATCATTTAGAATTATCTTAATTTCTAAAATATTAAAAGAAAAGATGGTTCGGTTTAGCAAAGAAAAATATGCCGAAATGCATTTAGTGTATGGTGAAATAATGTTACGCGCTGGCAGCATCACGTAGGTATGCCGAGAAATTTCTAAATAGGAGATATCATGCTTTAAAAACATTCACAGTTCTTTATCAAAGACAGATATTTTAATGGAAATCAAGGAAAACCCTGAAATTAGTATAAGAAGATTAGCTGCAATGTATCCTAATATTTCTAAATCATCTGTGTGAAATACCGTCTATCGGGAAAAATTGTACCCGTTTAATTTAAGAAAAGTTCAGGCTCTTAATGATGATGATTTTCCTGCCCGTGTGGCCTTGTCTATTTGGTTATAAATGCAAGAAAATCAAAATCATCACTTTTTGTTTTCAGATGAAGCTATTTTTACAAGAGATGGAATTTTTAATATGGATAATGCACATTACTCTTATGTTGGTGATAATCCTCATGTTATAAAAGAAACTAAACATCAGGAAAGATTAAGCATCAATGTATGGATAGATGTCCTTGGTGACAATCTGCTTGGGCCTGTAGAATTGCCCAATCGTTTAAATGGTAAGAATTATATCGACGTTTTACAAAATACTTTACCAGATTTATTGGATGACATTAATATAAATATTCGACAGAAATTGTGGTATTTACATAATGGTTGTCCAGCTCCCTTTAGGAGGAATGTTCGTGAATGAAATGAATGAATGAATAATTTTATTTACAGTATTTACAAAGTTAATTTACATCTACATAAATGTACGTCATCGATAACTACGCCTCTGTTCTCCAGCCTGGACTGGTGAAGTATGGGCGACGTCTCGTACCGCAATCACTGATGCAAGATGCTTAAGTGTGTGGAAATATAAGGTGCCATCTCCTTATCGCGATAGATATTATATGGCAGTTATGATTGTTTTGTTAGCGTCGGTAATGGAGCTTTCCTCGGTGTAATTTTGTCTGTCTTTAGTTTTGTAATTTTTCCCTGAAAAAGGCTATGAAAAAACAGGGTTGTCTTTGTAATGTCCGTTTGTCCGTATAGTTTATGACTAATTTGTACAAATCCGAGGATTGCACGGTGTCATCGTTGATCGTAGCTGCGAAAAATATCGCCGATTCGATTTTCGACTCACCGTGCAGTCCTCCGTCCGACCAGATTTTACGTCTAGGCGACTTGAATTTGTACCATTAGTATTGTTGTCACAGGGCACAGTCTGTGTATGTTTCGTGTGTCTTAAGTCTCAAATTTGTCTGTAGATTGTCAATGCTTTGTGGAGACATCCATGCTTTCTGTGAGCACTATTTGCCTCCGTAATGCTTAATATGTCTTCCTTCACATTAGTAGGAATGTTCGTGAGTTTTTAGACAATAATTACCGAGAGCGATGGATAGCAACAGGCGGTCCCGTTGCTTGGCCAGCGAGGTTTCCGGATTTAAATCCATGCGATTTTTGTGTATAAAGATATTTTAAATCAATTGTTTATTCGCAACCAATTGAACCACGGAATCACCTCTGAAAACGAAGTCAGAATGCTTGCAACGAATTTAGAAATAATATGGGAATTTTTGCAAGAATTCGGCGATCTTTACAGAAACGAATAAATTTGTGCATAGAAACGGATGGCCATCATATGGAGCATCTACTTTAGACTTAATTTTGTGTTTAATATTTTTAGTTATCATTTCGTTATTATTATTTTTTAATTGTATAAACAGAAACTTTAATTTTTACATGAATTTATTTTTTTACTTCAGAAAAGCAGTCAATAATTAAAAACATGAGCACCTACCTAAAGTTTGGGTAAAAAAAAATAATATGTATTTATAAAATTGTTAGGTATTTTGTTTATTTTCCATGGCCACCTTATCATAATTTTGAAATTTATTTGTTAATGGAAAACATGAAAAGTTTAAGTCGATTTTTCTCGGAAACGGTTAGTCATGGAGACTTCAGATAAGAGCACCGTTTTTGTGAGAAAATTACGAGTTTTTTTAAATTTTATTTAAAATTGGCGACTTTTCTTCGAAAGACAAAAAAAAATTGAATAAAAATATCCAATACCACACCCAAACGAGCCGCTTATGACTATATTCAAAAAATCTTATTTACGAAATTTGATTGGTTAGATTCAAATAAATAAATGTACACAATAATATCATTTAATAACGATTCGTTTTGAAGGTATTTTAATTAAACCGATTTAAGAGCGCTATCTTCAAGGAGCTCTAGCTCCCTTAGGAAGCATTTTTGAATTGAGGTAATTTGGGCTAAATCGTCATAAATTCAGCTCTAGATTTAATTCTTTAAAGAGCGTTTCTGGACACCATGTACAAAGCTAGCCCTATTAGAGAAGATTGTCGCTGGTAGCCTAGAATATCTCTAAATCCATTTTGTATTAGACAGTTCGCGAGAAAATATTCCTCCAGTAACTTCCCGAGTCTCGAGGCGGGCAGCGAAAACGAAACATAGACGGCGATAAGCGTAAATAAAGAACAGGGTCGGTCGCAGGCACTGTCACATGACAATATTTACATTCAAAACTGAAATGCATGTGTACAGGTGGTATATTCCGTAGGCTGTCAAAAATAGTATGTTCTCTACCATAACTATCCAAAGTAGGCTTTTGCGCTTCGAAAGTCAACCGCGAAATGACAGTAAGTGACAGCTTTGTTGCTCGCCTAATTTAAACTAGCTATAATAAAATATTTCTTTTTAATAAATGCTTTTCAATTTATTTGTAAGTAGTTACACGTTTTTTTATATAAATAAAAATTTTTCTTGGTTTATTCGGTCATATTGTTTTTATTTTCTATAATTTAAGTACAAGCACTACATATGTTTTGGAACATTTTTTAATCTTCTGGTGCAGTCAAAATTTAATAAAACATGGGTGACGATTACAGATTAAATTTTTTTAAATAATAGAAACCTCATATTTCTGTTTCATAGCGTGTTATTCAAACATGTATTTTTATTATATTATCTAAGTTAACATGGACTTTAAATTCAACTCTTTTTTTATTATTAACGTAGGTATAGGCAACAAATTATACACTACTTACGACAAATTTTCTGTTTTTATATCTATTTATTAAAAAAGTGTGCTGGTAGAAAAATCTTGTGTGCAATTTGAGCGAAAAGTTTATTGCCGCTTTTGACAGATTGCCGCACTCTGCAACGCCTCCCCAACTTTCTGTCCCAAGCCCAAAGTATCACTTTTCGCTTTTAATACACACAGCTATTGTGTATTAAGAGAGGAAAATACCATTTTTTTTTTCAAATGGAACCTTTTTTTTTAATAATGGTAAAAACTATCATGATCTATTAAATTCACATGTCTTGGTCTGATCATGTGGAGTACACACGACAAAAACTTGGTATATCGACATATATCAAAACCTTGTATCTCAAAATTAGCTAATTTTGGGAAAACACTTAAAACGTCCCATACCAGAAAATACAACTTTTTAAGTTAGTTTTTTTTACTAAAATGTGGGTATTTTCACGAATTGAATTATTTGTGACAATTATTAAATTTAACGAAAATGAGGTTTGATTAAAAAAAAAAAACTTAAGATACGAGTTTTTGCAATTTGAATGGTATTTGATTTAAGGACTTACGAGGTTTGTTAGCATGTTACCATCTCTCTTACGCTTTTTTTTGAGTTTTTCACACACAACAAACAACATGGCAATAGAAAAATAAAACGTTTATTCTTACAATAAATGAAACAAATATTAATATTCTTCTATATTATGGAAACGAAAAAAAATTAGTACTTCAACGAGTCATAAAACCTATGATAGACCGGGTGAATAATGGTATTTTAAGGGTCTGCAGGTGATTAAATTTGTCTTCTGTAATGAGCAAATGGTCATTATACATTTTTTTGCGTTTCCTGCATTGTTATTATTTTTGCGAACTGGTAAAAACTGCCACTCTTCGTCAAAATTTAGTTTGTATTGGATAGCCAAATGTTTAGAGTAGCTTAGAGCCCTCAGATTATTCACGCATGCATCTCCCTGGACGAATGGATGAATAATAATTAATTTCGGAATAGTCATTAAAAAATCGATGATCAATTTATTTAACTTTGTATGGATTTTTGGAATTTTTACAAGCCTCTTTAATTATTTCCACATAATTTGATGGTGAGTAAATGTATTTTTTTTTTCTTTCTTTCAATGGTGCACGGAAAAAATGTGACTAGAAAATTTTACTACAATGTTGTAGTAGTAGACTTGTAGAAAAATACTTAACAATTTGTAGAAAATTTTACTACAATTTATAGTTAAAAACTATTAATTATTGTAGCAATTGAATTGTCAAATAAAATGCTACAACAATAGGAAAAAAGTCCACAATGTTTAGTATATTTTACTATTGTTTGTAGAAGTAGAAATTTATTACAATTATCGTAATTACTACTACTAACTTCTGTAAAAATTTGTACAAATATTAATAATTATCTCTACAAAAAATAGTAATTTTCTCTACAAAAAATAGTAATACTTTACATCACTCCTTATAAAAAAAAATTCAATTTTGTTCAAAAATATTCTATAATATTGTAGAAATTCTAAGTCATGTGAACAAAACAGAATTCTGCTATTGGTCAACGTTTTCTGACGTCGATCATAAATGGCCAGACAGCAGTAGCCGTTCGCCATGTTCACATAACAAAGCATGGTACATATACGAGTACCTATAACACATTATTATATTATAAGCACCGATGAGTTTGAGAAAATTTTAATAATAAATTCTATTGGTGGTAAGTACATTTATTATTGTTTCTGAATAATTTACCTTTAGATAACTAATTTAAATAACCTTAGTAGATTATTTAAAAAAAATAGTTGTGGCCAACGATCGAATGTTGTGCCCAACGATCGAATTTTGTGCCAAGTTCAATGATGTTTTTTGTCTTAATTGTGACATACCTACTTTCTCATTTTTGTTAGTTATCTGACTTAGTCATTTAATATCCAAATCAGTGTAAAGGTGATAAATATCCCCGTTTTAAGGGCATGAACAGTTCAATTGGTATTAATTTTTATTTCATATTTTTAAGGTGCAGAAAAGGCAAATGAGACTGAGAGCGCTATTATTACTGTTATTTATTACATAATGTAATTAAGACTTTGTATCTTTTATATTAAAACAATAAATTGAATATTTTATTAAGGAACATTTTTTTCTAGGTTATAATTATAATAATTATGGAATACTACTACAAATTTTGTTAAAAATTACTACAGTTTGTATGAATTTTTACTATTTATTGTGTAAAATTTTCGTATATATTTTCATAAAACGCAATACATTTTTAATATAAATTCATACAATGAATAGCAAAAATTATAATAATTTGTAGAACAATTCTTATGATGCATTTGGATATTTTTACTAAATATTGTAGATAATAGGAACAGCACTGTTAATTAGAACCCAACAGTGAATGGTCGAGTGGGGAATCCTACCTATGCGTTAGAATCAAAATTAAATATTAATTCTAACGCATAGGTAGGATTCCCCACTCGACCATTCACTGTTGGGTTCTAATTAACAGTGCTGTTCCTAAAGTGGCGCTGGGAAACAGTAACAAAGCCTACACAGAACACGAGGCTAATGGCCGTAGTAGTCGACGCCGATGACACCAAATTAAAAAAAAAAAAAAAAAAAAAAAAAATAACTCTACAATACATTCTCCACAAATATTTGGAAATTTTTACTACAAATTGTCCCTGTCCCTATATGTACTATTTATTGTAGAGAAAAAATCTATAATTGTAGAAATTTGTTCTACAATTTTTTTTCCGTGTGGAGTGCACACTATCGCACTCCATTTGCGAGTGACCCTTGACTAAATATTTCTGTATAATTACCGTATCATTTTCGATGCAGATATGTTGAAGCGCATTAGCCAATGTCACGTTGCGATTTTGCGCAGAGCATCCATCGCTATAAAAAATCTTTGGTTTGTCCTTTTCTTGAACATCTAACTCTTCATTTAAAAAATCAATTATACAAGATGCAAAGGAGTTGACATCCATTTTTCCCTCTCCCTCGTGCCATACCTAACAAACTACTTTATCATTTGCTAAATTATAGATGGTAAAGTTATGGCATGCTAGTTTCTGCTTAAAATAAACCATGCCTGCTGTGACAACAGGGACAAGTTGGACCGCTTGCACATCCATCGTAAATACGCACACTTTTCCTTTTAAGGCATTTTTTTCCTTTCTAGCGCGATCTTTTTGGCTAATGTGTGATACATAATCTCCTTGCTCTACATTTCCCAGTTTATGCGAAAAACATAAATCACACTGATCCTTCCTTGGATGATTCACATCAATATTTGTATTTTTCATTTCCTTCAAGAAAACATCATATCCGACATGGTTTTTTTTTGTAAACGTCATACACTTTCTTATATGTTTCCAAATAAAGTTTACTCGTTGTTGAACGGCAATAATGAGAGGGCATCTTTTGCAGTTTTTCAAGGAACGCTTTAACCTTATTTCTGAGTTCAACATGGACAGTTTTAATCTTAGGAAAAGTAGTAGTTACTTTTGGAATACCCAAGTCACAACTATTTTTCACCCAGTTTTAAACACCCCATTCACCTAATCCTAACGTGGAGAGAAACATTTTCTTGCATACCGGAATTACGGTATTATCTATTTTCAAATGATAAAATAAACTTAAATTACGCCGTGATTTTCCTTGTGTTCTTTTCTGCGTTGTTGGATGTTTATTAACTAGTATACACACAAATAACTTTCGTTGATGCCAATCCATCTCAGACAAAACCCACCAAAAATTTTCCTTCGTTGTTCATCAGTTATCATTGAACACTTTCTTTTTTCTTTTGCTGCTAGACACTTTGCTGAAGTACATCTTGGTTTCATTTCGCGGGAGTTTTTCTTTATAGTAATTATAGAAGATCCATCTTTCTCCTTCGTTTTTGCTCTGTATTCTTTACCGCGCATTCTTTAATATTTTTGTTCATTTCTTTCCCAAGTAGAAGGATCTACATTTTTCTCATTTTTTTCTTCTCGAACAGCGTTCACTTCTTTAGGTGTCGCCTTAATTTTTTTGCATGTAGTGACATTGTCAGCTTCATTTTTCGAATCTGACGAAGTATTTGGGTGATAACTTAACTCTGATCCTTCAAACGATTCTTCAAATTCAATGTGGCTGTTATACTGTCCATTTTTCTTTTTATTTTTACTGAGACCTTCGGATTTGAAAGTTAGATCCCATCTGACATTCTCTAACTGAGTACTTTCCTTCATATCAATATTAATCTCATTGTCTTCTACATTCATACTAGCCAGGTATCTATTTTGGGTGTCATTTTTTAAATGAGACCCTGTGTGAATATTAGTACTTTTTGGGTTTAAAATAATACTCGGATGTACTTGCCTAAAAATAAAACTATAATTTTACAACGAAATCTCGTAACTCATTATTGTAAGTAGTTGATTAAATTTAGGTAGATAACAAAACCTCGTATCACAATTTTTTTTGCTAAAAAATTACTGATAAACATTATTTTGAAAATTCTTGTACTAACTGGCAAGTTTCTGTTTTTCTTTAAGCGTTTTATATAATTTGTTTTATTTGATTAACTGAAATAGATTAATTGGATCATCATGACCTCAAATTTTTTGGAATATTAGTTATATTAAAGAAATATCTAGATTTTTCAACCTTAAAAATGGTATATCATTCTAAAATTGAAAGTAATATTAGGTATGGTAGTTGTATTGAAATTAAAAGATTATTTTGCTGCCAAAAACAAGCTCTGCAAAATATTTTAGGAATGAAAGTAATATACTCATGTAGAGGAAAGTTTAAACAAAATAAATTATTAATATTGACAGCAATCTATGTACAGGAATGTGTTTTGTTTTTTATTAAAAACAAACATATTTTCGACACTAGTATATCGCAGTCGGTGTATCCCACTAGAAACCAAGAATATGTCTATCCACACCACAAGTTAACAATGACAGAACGTGGAGCCTACTATAATTGTATCAAAATATTGAACAGTCTCCTCAGATATATTAAAACAATTAATGAATTGACAAAAATCAAGAAATTGTTATTTATATATTTTTAGTTAACATGGAACTATATAATCTATATGAGTTTTTGATGACTCAAGACAATATGTATTCTGTTTGACTATTTCGATTTATGTATCTGTAACATACTCCTGAAATAAAGAACAATTATTATTATTATTATTATTATTATTTTCTAAATGTTGAAAATATATTGTTTTCCTACGACCACATAGGAAAATGACATATATCACACTATATAGTCCTATGGAAAGTGCCCTATATCACACGCGTATGAATAAGAATTTACTTTTCACCCGTGTACGAATATGCTACTTTTCGCATCAGTTGTCACAAAATGTCAAACGCGTCATTTATATTTTGATCTATGTAATGTCCATATTAATACTAAAATCGATATACCTAATTGTTAAATTATTGAAATTGTTGTAAATTAGATCCTAGATATTTATCTTCAACAATTATTAATAAAATAATTTTAAAATAACTAAGCTATGTTTGCATTATATTCTGGTTAAATACATACCGATTAGATC